ATAAGGTGTGATTCAAAAAATAAAAAAACACAGATTGTCATTCATTATAATACAATACAAACAAAAAATCACACTTTTATTAATAGGCCATAATGATACTAAAAAATTAAAACCCTCAGTCCATCTACACCCCACTTGCAAATTGTTACCAGTCACCAAGGAACTTCAAACCATCACATAAGAAAAGACAAACATTCACATGGTTAACTTGATTAATAAAGCAAAAAACACAGGATTAATAGAACACAAAACATAAGACTATTAAAACATAAAACACAAACAGAGAAGTATATTTTGGCCCCCTTTAGACACCCTCTAGTGTCACTCCACCAAGCCTGGTAGGTCATATCCTCCATTCCTAGGTTGGAGTCCAGGATTGGGCCTTATCTCACCATCTGTGGGAAATCACCTTCTCCATCTCCTTTCTCACCAAACCTCAGACACAGGAAATAAGACAACATCCACAAAGAACAAGTATACCCATAGAGGCTATAACTTCACCCAGAATAGTTACAACAATAGTTTTCCATTTATCAAATATGTTATCAAATCAACCGTTTATGGAGCTATCAATATCAGATCTCTCAGCCAGTTTGTTCGTCAGTGTAGTTACTCCCATGAAGCTCTTTTGTCACTGACCCGTCCGGTGCTATATTGTTTGAGGATGAAAATACAGCACATAGATCCAAACAGAACACAAACTCCGCCCCTCTCAGCCAAAAGCATATCTAAAGCTATTCTATTCTGCCTTGTCATTAAGATAGTTGCCGCTGTCTGCTCATCTAATCCCTTTATTGCATCACAAGTGTGGTTTATAAATCTTTGCTGGTTATAGTAAATATAATTGATCCAATCTACGTTTTTATTAATTGTTGACCACCAAAAAATACTTGATTCAAACTCAACTGCGATCTGATTCCTAGCTTTGAATTGTTCTGGAACCTCTCGAGGTACTCCTACCCCATCAAAGGATCCTTTCATCAAAGGATCCCGGGAGGAGGTCCTACTTTCTACGTGACAACTCACCAGTCTCTGACACGTTTGATTGTTTGCATATGTAGGTGAGTTCACAATCAGTTATCACCACACAACCATCAGATGTCAGCACGGGCCTGGTTTTAGTTCCTACAATCCTCTGGCTGCAACAAAGAGGAGAGATTAGTCATAGTCTCTTTCAGTTGTGATATTCTCTGTGTAGGAGCAGAGCTAAGATGCCCTACTCTGTATCCTATCTTACTAGTCCTAGAATAACAATTAGAATCCCCTGAGACTTCAAACGTAGGCAACCTAGGTCGGAATGACTTTGTTATCGGGGGATACTGATAGTTCAAGTTACTACAAGACTCTTTCACCACATTCCCAGGTGGCTTGTATGGAGGATAAACCTGTTTTTGCGTACTTCAGACTTTCATACAGTACCTACCCTTCTATGGGTCGCACTGCCATTTCTGGTAATTCCCTACCCTCACAACACTACACCTGTCCCCAAACTGTGTATGGAGATTTACATATCCCCCACGCTCTCGACATGAGCAACTACATAGTCCCAGGATGTACACGGCGACACACATACAGTGATGTCCTCCCCTAAAGTCCCTAATCTTCCCCTTTCCCTACGTCTAGCTGTCTCCTATGCCTTCATAGACTGTGCTCTGGTATTATTTTATCAACTTGTTTTAGGTTAACTACTACTTTTGGCTGATCAGAAGGGTTTGAGTGTGTTAGGAATATGGCCCCCACAATCAGACAGCTACCTACCGTCAGGAGACCTGTGAATCCCCACCCTTGCCCTGAGAACATGTCAGACGCCAACCCATTACTTCACCTTCTACCAAACTCACACAGGGATGATCAGACAGGGTAAGGGAATCTTCGTTAAGGAGCCAACCCCCGAGCCCTAATGGTGATCGGATCTTTCTCCTAACTCTGTGTTTGTTCATCAGGTGTAACTGGGTTTACATTTTTGCAGTGTGTGACATGCACCCAGATGGATCTAATAGGACTTGATAGGGCCCTTCCCAACAGGCCTGCTTCCAGTTTTTCTTCTTTTAGGGACTGGATCCACACCCAGTCTCCTGGTGTGATAGAGTGGGTCACCTTCTCCTTTAGTTCACCTGTGGGGCACAAAACCTCTGACATACGGGTGTGGTTAATAAACTATCTTCACACATACATGTTGAGCTCTCAATTTCTATTGTTGTTTTTTTATTTTTATTTAATCCTATCATTATTAATTAATCCTATCACTATTATTTAATCCTATCACTCCCCCTTTTTTGACACATGATTTGCCCATGTGTCAATATTACCACCTTTCTAAACCATTCCTTATGCAATTTATCATCCAATTGCCATGCCTTTCATTTTTTAGATTATCTTTTGCTTCTTTATTACTCCTCCCACTTCCTTTGTCTTTTATGGCAGCTAAATTCAACTTTCATCCAGTTCAGAATCAATTAGTAATCCAATCATTCAATCTCTTATCTTGTAAAAACACTCATGTTTAGTTCAAACTCTGTTCTACCCAGGCTCTCCCGGGCTTGACCTGAAGACTAATTGTTGGACATGACAAGTCTATTTCTTAGGTCACCTAAGTCTTCTGTCTAGCAACAAAGAATAAAAATCTTTATGTTCATGATTAACCCAGTTATATCTAATAGCCCACCAAAAAACTTCATCTTTAAATCACTACCAATGTCATATCCCTCGTTACTCTCTACCATTTGGATAACATCCCTGATATATGTATGAAAAGCTAAGACTGTTTGGGAAGAGAGCAACAACATAAACTGTTCGTCCTCCTCAGAGTTCCAAATTACTTTACCATGGGCTACCATTGCCTTCCCATAGATAAGATCACTTAATTTACCCGTATGCAGTACATAATGGAGTACGCAAACTTTACAGCACTTTATCATTACCAATAAGCTCATCATTTGTTTTTTGTTTTAACGGTTCTGGCGCTTCAAATATAGCAGTTTTCCTGGATGAGTTTAACATTCGCCCCTCCTGTGTTATAGTGTGTCCTAGGTAAATGACCTCGCTCTACCAAAGTTGAAGTTTCTTTTTGCTCACTTTGTGTCCCTGTTCTGCCAGGAAGGTTAACAATTGGATTGTATCCCTCTTACATCCCTCCTGAGTGGGATTAGCCAATAGAATAGCATCTACATAAACTAACATTTGCTTCCTTCCCTAGGTTCAAACTTTCCCAAATTTTTAGTTATAGCCTGGGCTAAGATTGTAAGACTTTCCGAGTAGCCTTGAGGCATCCTAGCCTAAGTCCATTTTGTTAGAAATTGCGTAATTCAAATCTGGTATTGGAATAAGAGAAAACATAATCAAGAGATATTCAATCCAAGCTAAATTTATTATATGCAAAATGTATGTATGATAAGTATGAAGGTTGGTATATACGGGTCCACTGAAATACCACGCAGGGCACTCAGTTAACTAATCCATTGTTCTAAGTTCTTCTTCAAATACTCTGACAGAAAGCCTCCACTTCTTCAGAGCAAAGGACTGAGTGTGGTCCAGACTCCATTTCAGCCAATCCGTTCCATTTGTTACCAGGCATAGTTGCTATGATAATAACCTGCGGAGTCAGCACCGAAAATACACAAAATCCACTGTAGCCATGTTCAAGGACAGTTTCACAGACAACAAAGAGAGAGTGTTCTTATCAGCCTGTTATGTGAAACAATCCATATCAGTACAGTGCTCCTCATTAATGCATTCCTTCCAAGCTATTCATCACATACAAATCCAATTAAAAAATAAAACCCATCAATTCCCCCTTTTGACGCCCTCTAGGGTGTCACTCATTAAAATACAAAAATAAACACTTTTATTAATAGACAATTTGATAATAAAAGTCCTTCAGTCCTTCCATCGACACCCAACTTGCAAACTGTTACCAGTCATCAAAGAAGTTCAAACCATCACATAAGGAAAGACAAACATTCACATGGTTAACTTGATTAATAAAGCATAAAACACAGGATTAATAGAACACAAAACACAAGATTATTAAAACTCTAGGGTGTGATTAAAGATTTTTAAAGGGAAATTTTAGAATTCCCTCTTTTGACACCATTTATGGTGTCACTCTAAACAGAGTATAATCACCCTTAAGAATAACAGGATATGGAAATTAAATCACAACATTTAATGTTAATAAAAAATAAAAAATAATAATTTTAACCCTCTATTCCTCCCCTACACCTAACATGTACTGAGTTGGCTACCAGCCACCCAGGAATCCTTTACCTTCACATCAGGAAGAATAAACAATCACAGTGGTTAGTAAAAACATAAGGTAATAAATGAGCAAGAACTGAAAATAAATGCGTATATGTATTTTACTAGGCAAACCATGGATCATCCAGGTTGGTCTCAGAGTCAGTAGCAGAGTCACCCGCATCATCCTGGGCCGGTAACAACAGCATCATACCTAACGCCTGCACCACTCCTACCACTGACCTCCTGAGACAGGGGACGATGCAAGCAGCACAACACATTAACAGCAAAAACACAATTACTAGGGTCAGAAATCCAGTAACCACCATAGAAGAGTACTCACCAAACCAGTCACTCAGCCAGGAGAACAGCCCACCACTCTCCACTCCAGCCATGCTCTCCTTTTCTGCTGACAACTTCTCCAGGCCAACAAGGGCCTTTGTTATGCTCCCGTCAGGGCTAGTATTGTTAGGAATAAACGTACAGCATTGTTCCCCAAACATCTTACAAACACCCCCCTGATTAGCAAGCAACATGTCAAGTGCTAGTCTATTTTGCCTAGCCACCCTAGAGGTGGCCTCTAGTTGTTCGGACATTCCAGTCAGGGCAGTGCGTGTGTAGTTAACAAATCGCTGTTGGTTATAATATATGTAATTTATCCAAGATCGCTGTTTAGCAGCATCTATGGCAGGACCTATGATTGGCAACAGATGCCACAACCCATCGTTCCTGTTGAGTGCCTGGAACTGTAATGGTACTCCCACAGGCACCCCCAACAGGTTAGAGTGGATCTCCTCTTCTGTTGACCATGGGGCACTACGTCTCCCCCGCCTCATTCTCTCTCTGTCTGGGGTTAGCTGGGCAATCCCCAAAAGTTGGTCTGAGGAAACATCAATAATGGTCAGTGGTATAATTAAACTAGCTAATGCACACGTGCCCTGCCAGTCCCCCTTTAGAATCGGGGTTAGTTTTCTATTTGGTCCACAGATCCACCACACATCAGCCACCCCTTTTGTCTGGGTTTTACCCTCTATTGGCCAAGTGCTGTTCATGGTTACATTCACAGCACAATCCCCGGGTGGTAGCCTACCATAGTTAACACCCTTACCTGTTCCAGTAATGCAACTGTAATTACCTCCATAAGCCTGAACTCCCTCAGGTGCCTTTTGTGGGGGAACCTCAGGGAAAATCAAACTTAGGGCTTTGCACAGGGTGGTGTTTGGCAGTGAATGGTAGAACTCTTCCAATATGCACTGCCATCCTTCCCCTTCTCCTAAAGCGAATGGGTGGGTTGCCAACCCAGGTCTTGCATGCCCACAGATAACACAATTCTGCCTGGCCAGTGTCCTAGCCGTATACCTCATGTATGCCAACCACATATTTTCTTTCCCTTCATAGCCAGTTTCTGTCCCCAATTGGTCGCTGTCCGTTATATCCCTAACATTAATCACCTGAACAGGGTTTGGTACCCTAGTGGGTTGAAGTTGAGCTGGTCCTGGAGCGGGGTGTGGTCCAACTGGGTCTGTCTCTCCCCAGCTGCAGGTTTGGGTGTGACTGCGATGGTGAACATACCCATGGTGTCTGGTCCGGATCGTACTGCTGCTAAGGTGTACACACCTGCGTCTGTAAGTTTAATGTCTTGAATGGTTAGTAGGATTTCATCACCTTTACATGCACCCCCTTTTGACCCCTGTACACCCCTTATCATTGAAAACCTAGCTGCTTTAGAAGCATCTCCTAATGCATACGGATAGCCTCTACGCCATTCCCAGAAGGTGCCAACATTTGTGATCATATAGTCCCAATATGGACACCACTTTCCCTCACACAGATAAGTACCTCTCTTTAACACATGGGGATGCATTTTGTTACAGTTTTCCTTCTGGTTCCAATTGCAACCAGTGTCCCCAATTCCACTAGCCCTATTCCTCCATGACCAGATCTTACATGGTTCTAGGGACATCACTTGAGATTCCCCTTCCTGTAAGGTAATGACTATGTTATGGTACTGATTGGGAGCTGAGAACACTGTTCCCCATAAGGCGAGCCCCACTCCTAACCACAACATCATCATCACTCCCCTTCTGTTGCCAAGTCCTGTTGTACCTGATCTAGAGTCCTTCCTGGAACTATGTCCTTGGCACAGTGTGTCCTGTGGTACCACACGTCTTTCTTGCTCGTGTTCACCCGCAACGAGTGGCTTGATACCTCTTTTACCCGGTAGGGCCCTTCCCACCTTGGCTCCGTCCACTTTCTGGAATGCACCTTCACTCTCACCCAATCTCCCACCAGGATGTCTCTGTTCTCGTCCGTGGTTTCAACAGCAGGAGTGCGCACTTCCACCACCTGTTTAGACAATCTTTCAACAAGAGAAATTAGCGCTTGCATATAGTCTGTGTATCTGATTTTTGCAATATCTAGCCTAGGCATACTAAGATTGTCTGCTGGTGGCCCTGGCATTCTGTGTCCTGTCATAAGCTCATGGGGCGTTAAATGGGTGTCAGACCCAGGTGAGTTTCTCATTGACATTAGAGCTAGGGGCAGCGCATCTACCCACTTCAGTTTAGTTCCGGCCATTATTTTGGCAATTTTTCGTTTCAGCGATTGGTTAGCTCTCTCTACGAGTCCCTGCGATTGGGGGTGGTATACTGACCCGAACTTGTGGGTGATTCCTAGGGCCTGCTCTACCTCCCTCAGGTGTTTGTTCTTGAAAAGGGTACCGTTGTCGGAACGGACCATTCGCGGGACCCCGAACCTTGGAATGAGGTCCCTCCTCAGCCATTTAATCACAGCCTTTGCATCTTCTCTTGCTGTGGGGATTGCTTCCACCCATCTGGTGAATCTGTCAACCATTACCAACAGGTATCTTTTTCCTTCCACTCTGTTGTCCTGTCCCATGTCCGTGAAATCTATGCAAATGTCTTGAAATGGCGCGTCAGGTATTGGGAAGCTGCCTATCACTGCTCCAAGTGACACTTTGTTGTTGTATTGTTTGCACACTTCACAGCTCTCTGATGTCTCTCTTGCCATGTCCAACATGTGTGGATGCCACCATGCTTTCTCAACTGATTTTGCGACACCTTTCCATCCTCCATGAGCCTTCTCATGCTCTTCCCTTAAGATTGATCTGAGGAGTTTTGCAGGTCCCACTGTTTTTCCTGTGTGAGATCTCCAAATCCCATGATGGTCTTGTCTTGCTCCCTGTCTGCTCCATACGTTCTGTTCGTAGGCGCCTGCTGCTTCTTGCAACTGTCTTACTGTGTCTGTCGTCAACTCCTCCTGTCCTTGAGTGGCTCATTGCACCATCTGCTGGGCAGTGTATCCTCCTGCATCCTTTGCTGCTTGATCAGCCCGATCATTTCCTTCACGCACTCTGGTGCTTTCTCTGCTATGACCTTTGCACTTCATTATTGCCACTCGTTTGGGAAGCTGGATTGCATCAATTAACTTCTGTACTTCAACCTTGTGTTTGATGGGCTCATTTGAGCTGGTCACAAATCCTCTCCTCATCCACTGTGGTCCATCAATGTGTGCAATCCCATGTGCATAGGCAGAGTCTGTGTAGATGTCCACATTCTTTCCTTCACTTAGTTGTAGAGCTCTCCTCAATGCCCTAAGTTCAGCTAGTTGTGCTGAACTTTCATTGGGATTCAGTCTTTTTGCTTCAACAACTTCGTGTTCTCCTTCCTTGTCTTGCTTTACCACAGCATAGGCAGCAACATTCCCTTCCTTTGGGTCTTTTGACCTATAGCAGCATCCATCTGTGAACAGGGTGGTCTTGTTGCCGTCCAGAGGTGAGTTCTGTAGGTCCATTCGAACCTTGATTTGTTTGGCTGCTCTGTCTTCACATACATGTGGTTCTCCCTGACCCATGCCATCAGTCATGTTGGTTGTGGTTGTCACATAGGTAATGTGTTTTGCAGTGATGGCCTTTGTTATGTTGGATCTTCTTTTGCTGGACAACGTGAAAAGTTTAGAGCCAATAAAAGCTGTCACTCCATGGTCTGTGTTGATTTCAAGTGGATGTCTCATTACAATGTGAGCTGTTTTGCCTACAGCTTTAGCAATGGCAGCCATGTGTCTGGCACAGTCAGTTTGTCCTGTCTCAATGTTGTCCAGTTTTGCACTGTAGTAGTGTAAGATTCTTCTCTCCCCCTTTTGTTTCTGATACAGGATGGAATGCACATAACCATCCCTTTCAGAAACATCCAAACAGAATGGCGTGGTGTAATCAGGTAAAGAAAGTGCTTCAGCCTGCGCTAGCGTCTGTTTGAGTTGGATAAAAGCTGCCTCTGCCTCTGGAGTCCACTTAAGGACAGCTGTGAGGTTTCTGTTTCCTGCTTCTCTCAAGATTGCTCGCAGTGGTTCCACCTTAAGACAGTATTCTGGCACGTGCGTTCTGCTGTATCCAGTAAGGCCAAGAAATGACAAAAGGTGTTGTACAGTAGTGGGTTTGGGATGTTCCAAGATTGATGTCCTCTGGGCCGAAGAGACAGCTTGTCCCTTTCCTGACAGTACTCTCCCCAGGAACTGTACACTTCTCCTACAGCACTGCACTTTCTCTTTCTTCACTTTGTACCCTTTCTTAGCTACCAAGAGGAGAAGGGACTTGGTGGCCTGCAAACAAGACTCAGCAGTTGGTGCTGCCAACAGGAGATCATCAACGTATTGAAGCAGTGTCACCCCTTCTGGTAATTTTCAGGATAGCGTTGAAGATTCCTGGGGAATCACGATATCCTTGTGGAAGACGAGAATAGGTGAATTGCTGTCCTCTGTAGGTGAATGCAAATAGTGGTTGAGACTCCGGGTGTAACGGAATGCAGAAAAATGCATTAGCAAGGTCCACCACTGTAAACCAGTCTTGGGTAGGTGAGATGTTTTGCAGGGCCAGATATGGGTCTGGTACAGGTCTAACGTCCGGTACAGTTACTTCGTTGATTGGTCTGAAGTCCTGCACCATCCTCCATTTTCCAGTGTCACCTTTCTTTACTGGTAAAATTGGAGTGTTCCAGTTGGAGCAGGTTGGATATATGACTTGCCCTTTTTGAAGTCCTGATATTGTAGGCTCAATTCCCCTTGTCTATTCTTCACTGAGTGGGTATTGGCCCTTGCAAACTGGAATAGTAAGGCCACTGTCTTTTCTAACTGAAACCACCACTGGTTCTACATCAACTAGTCCCACATCCTCTGCAGTTAATGTCCACAGTTGTTCTGGTAACTGGTTGAAGATGTTGACCGTGTCTGGATGGTCAGTCATTTCTCTTCCATGGTAACGAGATCTTCTCACCACTTCAGGTTTTCCAATGTCATCCACGTTTAGTAAGATTCTCCAAACCTGATTTCCATCCATGACTGAGCTTTGTATCTTATAACAGGCGCTCTTGCTCCACTGCAGGCAACTTGCCTTCTTTACTGCTGGTCCCAATGATCTTGCCTCATAGCCAAACCCTACTAGGAGAGTAACATGTGGCACAGAGTCACCAGGAAGTGCGTACCATTTGTCTGTCAGTACCACATCTCCATCCATTACCATGCAACTGGTTGCCACTCCTTCTTTGAGTATGTACATGTGATTGCTTGTCACACTTGGTCGTCTGTCCTCCATTTCTTCTTCCCATGCTTCATCATATGCTTCATCCAGGTCCCTGGTGTAGTTCATTGTGACGTGTGGAGGGTCCTCAGGAGGGTAGTATGCGTTTAAAGTCTGTATCCATGCCTTCCATAGCTGGAACTCTCTGCATACTCTAGGAGCATCAGGGTCAGTATCCATTAACTTCAGCCAATACACATATGTTTCTTCCTCCTCCTCTTCTTCTGAGTGTGTTCCCATGTACAGCATGCGTGGGGGATCAGAGAGTTCCTTCATGAGTATTGGCATGAGTTCATCAATAGGTGTGATAGAAGCATGCAGTCCCTCTTGGTTACAATAGATGCTGCATCCCAGCTTGGAGAGCAAGTCCCTTCCCATTAACCCCACCGAACACTCTGGATTGTAGAGAAACTGGTGAGTTACTTGCAGGTCATCCCATACAACTTCCAATGGAACTGTATATGGCTTTCTCATAATTGCCCCAGAAACCCCAGAGAAAGCTTGTGTCTTGGTAGTGAGTGGATATGATGCTTGTACAGAAGACCATGTGCATCCTGTATCAATCAACATATTATGTTTTCTTCCTCCAATTAAACATGACACTACCGGTTCTGACCCTGGTGGAAATGAGTAGATATTGGTGTTGAGGTTATATTGGGTTTCTAGGCAGCTTCATTGGGGGTCCTGGTTGGGTTGTTGCATTCCCATCCATGACATACCTGGTAGCAATGCCGCATTGGGCACTGGTTGTGGCTGCCCATTGTTTCCTCCAGGGTTTTGCTGGGGTGGTGGAAATTGTTGGCCTCCTTGCCAGCTTCCTCGTCCCTGTTGGAACCTTTGCATTCCTCTTCTTTGCTGTCCACCATACCCTCTTCCTTTTTGTTGTCTTGATAGCTGGTGTGAGTGTGGGCAAAATCTTGCCATGTGTCCTTCTTTCCCACAATTAAAACATCCTCTATCTGCGTATCTGCGGGGTGCATAGCCAG